CTTTTTCTCCTGCCTCAGAAATCATTCACTTGACTTATTCTAGAATATGTATTAAGCACCGACTCATTTCCCCAGGCACCAGGAATTAAGGGAGGAGTAAGAGAGACACGGGCCCTGCGCCCAGCGCTTAGGGCCTACTGGGAGGGATGGATATTTAGTAAAGAGGCCACAGGTAAAAATACTTCTGCAGTATTCAGTTTTTTTAAATAATATACACGTATTACTCCCAACATTTTGAGGAGGTAAATAAATAATATACTTCGAGACTGTCATAGGGACAGGGAACGAAGAGGTCTGGGTTCTGTGAGAAACTGAAAAGGGAGCCCCAAGTGAAGAGGGGGTCTCTCTGATTCTTAAACTGAAAAGTGAGGAGGCCAAGGGGGGCAATGCCTGAAGGCCCTGGGAGGAGAGGTGATGGGGGGTTGCGAGGGAGGGAGGGCGGGGAGGGAGGGAAGGAGAGAGAGAATTGGCTCATGGGGGGAGTGGGGCCAGGCGAGGTGGCTGGAGCCTTGCAGGCAGGGCCCTGCAGATCTCTAAGTGCAGTGAGAAGCCCCTGGAAGGCTAAAGCAAACTGATACCCATCTTTAGAAGATCGTTCTGGCTGCTGTGTAGAGAGTGGACTGGAGGGAGCAAGAGCGGAATTGGGGAGCCAAGTTAGGAAGTGGGCAGTTGTCCAGGGAGAAGAGATGGGTGTGCTTGAAGGTAAGCGGCCAGAGCAGAGAGAAGTTGTCACATTCAGAATACCTGGGAGACAGGACAGGTAGCTCTGCCTGCTGGGCTGCAGGTGGGGAGGGAGAGGCTCCTGTCCAGGAAGACTTCTGGGTTTCGGGCACGAGGAGCTCCTGGGAGTGGGAGAGGACAGGGGGTGGGTGAGGGAGAGCAAGGCCACCTTGATTTGGGGCGTGTGAAGGTGGAGTGCCCGAAGCCCCTCCAGATAAAGGCATCCTGCAGGGGTTTGCAGGTATGAGCTGAAGTTGAGGACACAGCCTGCATGCTTTGCTCAAGCCCCATCCCGTGTCTCCTCGCTGGCCTCACAGAAGGGGGGCTGCTGTTGGCCTGGGAGGGACCTTGGTGGCTAAGGAGACAGCTATCAGCTAGCTCGTGACCCTGGAGACCTTGCGTCATTAAGCCCCCTCCCCAGCCTGGTTCTTGGTGCGCTGGTCAGCACTTACCCCACCTCGGGGATTCTCAGGAAGCTATCTTTCCTCCTCTGCTCCTGTCCACTGCCCATGGCAAATTCACTGGCCTGGGAGCCGGAGCTTGGAGAGAAGTGGCCAGAGAGGGTCCACTGCTTCCTCAGGCCGCTGCTGATGTCCCATGAGTCCTGGGCCCTTGCTTCTCCCAGGACCCCTGTCTGCAGACCACAAGGGGACTATCGTGTGCAAAATCCACACCCTGTTTGTTTTCCTCTCCGCCAAAATGGAGCCCCTGTTTGGTTAATTTCTATTTTGTGGCTTATTTGGAGGCTGTTAAAACAGACCCTGGGGGACCCTCAGCAGTGATTGTTCCATATCTCATTATCTTTCCCGAACCCGATTATTAGCTCAGATTTTTCTGATCACTAGCTGCTGTTGGCGATGAGCTGTGTGCCATTAATGCCAGCTGGTTCCCTTAAACAGGACCCTCTGTGCCAGGGAAAATGGGCCGGCATTCGGAGCCACCAGCCACTTGGCGTTTTAATTTTAATGGGCTCCACCAAATGTTCCAGGCCAAAGGGCCCCTGAGGAATCGGCACAGACGGGCTCCCAACCCCGCTCTGCCACCCAGCCCGGTGCCTTCCCAGGCTGCGGCCGCCCTAGCCGCTGGGACAGGAAGGCCCGAGTTGGGGGCTGTGGCAGGAGTGGGGGACGTGGCCATCTGCCTCCCCTGTATTTGCACCTTCCTGCTCTCTGGCTCATCATCAGTTGGGTGGGCAGGGTGACCTCACCAGCTCCTAGTCTCCCCACTTTGCTGGTCCCCAGCCCCTTCCCTGGCTCAGGCATGCTGGCCATGCTCAGGAATGAGCATGTTGGGGGGACCCCAGTGGGCTTCAGGGAAGGGCGGGCCAGAAGAGATCTGGGACCTGGGCATTGTTTTCTCTTCTTTCCTCCCCCCTACCACGGCCTCCCACCCAGAGTTGGGGAGACAGGCTGGGACACTCACTCTGGACTGTGCTAGTCCTAGCCAGAGGGAAGAACAGCCAGTCAGGGAGGCTTGAGGACAAGTCTGAGTATTTGCTACAACCAGTGGCCACTATTCCTCGTCCTTCCATTACACTCCAGCCCTGCTCATCCCCAAGAGGCTGCCAGGGGAAAGTCCCAGCTGCCTGCTGGCCCCCTGGAGGGCCCCTGCTTTTTCTAAAAGAATGTAGGGGGTGGGGCTGGGGTTTGAACCCAGATCTTCTGTTTTATAGCTGGGGTGGGATGTAGGCAGGGCTGGATCAAGGGCCCTATCTTCCCTGACTGGGACTGCTTTCCATTCATCTGGGCCACAGCCTCAAGCTGGTCTTTTCAGGGGAGCTTGGCTATGCAAACAGCCAGTTTTAAATGGCACATTAGACATTAAAGCATCCCTCATTGAGATGGAAGACACTTGGAAAGTAAATAGCAACAGTTAAGAGCAAACCTTTGGAATTAGCAGACCCCTGGGTTCAAATCCTAACTTTACATGCCTCATAATAGCTGCGTGTCCTTAGGTAAAGTTCCTTAACTTCTCTGAACCTGTCTGAACTTCTTTGAGTCTGTAAAAAAGAGCAACATGCCCTATCTAGAAGTCTTGTAGTAGTGGGGATTTAATTCAGACATTTAATGTGACGTGCTCAGCTCATGGCCTGGCACCTCCCCGTTGCCCCTTTCCTCCTCTTCTCCCACCACCAACACCTGCCTGTGTGTCCTCCTGCCTCTCTCTGTACTTGCCCTCTCTGCACTCTGTAGGAACATGTGCCCTGGCATCTGGAGGAGGGGGCCACAGAAATAGGCAGTCACTGGCTGCCGAGAGCTGGGGAGCTCGGGACTCGATGAGCTCCATCTGCGAGGCAGGGCAGCCTGGAAGCAGGGCAGCAGGACCTAGTGTGGGCTGGCAGCTCCCTGGCCTGCCCTGCGGTCCCAGTGAAATGTGTCCGAGCTGCCACACATGTCCCTGCCTCCCAGCCTTCCCTGGAGCAAGCAGAAAGAATAAGAATTGGACTCTGAGGATCAGCTCGAGGATTCCAATCTAGACCAAACCCCCAAGAGCCCAAGCTGGGTTTGCCTGGCCTCATTGTGACTCCGTGGGGCCCTGGGCTGCCCAGGGCCTGACAGGGTGGCACTTCCTGTCTGCCCAGGTCGCAGCACCATTCTTACTTTGACTGCTGCAGTCGCCCTGACACCCCAGAGGCCTTCCCCAGGCTCTGCATCTTCTCCATCGACCCAGAAGGTCGAGGCCAGAGGCGGGGCTGCAGGTTCAGGGTGGCCTGCTAGCTACCAGGTGAGCCAGAGCCGAGAGCAGGCTGCCCCAGGCCCCCGTAGGCCAGCAGTCCTGCAGTGGCCCCTGCTGCCCCTCCTCCCAGGAAGGATCTACAGGGCAGGGGCTGGCTCCGGCCTCCGTCTGGGGGAGCGGTGGCCTCTCTACCCCCGTCTCCGGTCTGGCCACACGCAGCCTCGCCTTTTCTCCCTCTACGCCTGTGCCTGTGCTGTGTTCCCCGCCACGATTCTTTTTCTTCTGCCCTGCCTAACCCCACCTTTCCCTCCTCCAAGAAACTCCCTTTCCAGCCTTTGCAGATCTCCATCCATTCATCTGTTTGTTGGTCCACGCATGGATCCCTCAGTCCCCAGTTTACTGAGCAAGTACGACATGCCATCCACTGTCCTGAGTGCCAGTCATACAAAGAGGAGAAAGGCGTGGTCCTGCCTCCCAGTCCTGCAGGGGCATTGGATCATGAGCGGTGAACTGAGTGCTGGGGAGGAGGGACTGGGGACGTGTGAGGAAGCAGCTTCCTGCCTGGGAGAGGCGACATTCTTACGTAGCTTCATTAACTGAGGTCTCTTACGCCCCAAGCTCATGCTAAACACTTTACATACATTCTTTTAGCAGCCCCGGGATGCTGTAGATATTACCGTCCCTTTTTACAGATAAGGAAACTGAGGCAGGGCAAGGTTCAGTGATTCCCACTGTTAGAAAGTCACTGGAGGGAGAGCTCAGAGGTGGGCCTTGCAGAACAGATGCGGACTGGGTAGAGAAGGAAGGCATTTGGGGCATCGGGACCAGCATGGGCAAAGGCCCCAAGGCGGGAAAGCTCCCATAGCATCTGGTGAGCAGTCAGCTGGATTCCCAGAAGGAAGGAGAAGGTGGGGTGTTAGGGAAGTAGGGGAGCCACGTGAAGGGGATTGCACCTCTTCACGCAAGTCATGGGAGGAGCTGGTCGTGGTAGACGTGGTTGGACCTGTGTTCTAGAAGGACAAGCGACAGCATGGGGGATGGAATGGAGTAGGGAGTGCCCAAGGTAAAGGCAAGGGGGACCCCAGTGTCCCAGGCCAAGTGAGGGGGGCTGGGGTGTAAGAGAAGAGGACATGAGCACTGCACCCCTGCCCTGCTCTGGGCTGCTCTGCTTAGCTCGGTGGTCACCTGTGGGCAGGTGTGTGGATCTCCTTCTCCTGAGCCCTGGTGGTTAGGCCTGTGCCTGAGCCCACAGTGGGGCCTGAGAAAGGGGGTGCTTAGAGGCTGAGGTGGGAGTGAGGGTTCCCACGCTTCATTTACTTGCCGATTCTGTGTTCTTCTAACAGCGGCCTTTCCTTTTTCCTCTCCTCAGAGAGGTTGTGTGTGTGTGTGCGGGTATGTGTGTGGCTGAGGCTTTCCCCTCCGCCTCCCTCACGGGCTGGCTAACTGGGATGACTGGGCTGTGTCATGCTGTGCATAGTGGCACTGGAACAGGCGACGCTGAGGATTTGGGGTCCGGGGCAGACGGTGCCGCTCACTCTGCTCCTGCCCCAGCCTGCCAGGCCCCTGCAGCACCACGCAAGCACGTTCTCTTCTCTCTTCCTAAGGTGGGCCTTAATGTCCTGGTCCAGAAAGCCAACAAGTTCACCCCGGCCACCCGCCTTCTTGTCCAGAGATTTGTGCCGTTCCCCGCTGTAGGTAAGACCTGCACCTGCGCCGAGGTGCCCGTGCACGTGGACAGGCATGTGAGTGTCACACCTGCGTGTGCGGGGTTGCGGGGCTCTTGGGGAGCTGGACTGCCTTTCCAGACCGCTTCTGACATTGGGGGTCTCCTGGTGCGGGCGACTAGAGCAAAACATGGGTGGACAGAAGTAAGGGTGACGGGGGCCCTCGCTGACAAGCCCTGTGACCGAGATCCTGCTTTTAGCACTGGCATTAGCCCCCGGCCACCCAAAGGCTAGTAGATAGAATGCAGTGGATCCTATGATGGCCGGGGAAAATGTCTACACTGGCCTCTACCTGAAATTTAACATATCCTTCCATTGTGAATGTAGGCAGCAAGCCCAGTAACAAGCAAGAGCCGTGGCTTTTTCACCCATAGAAATCATAGATATTTTCACATCTCATTACAGTTGTTACAGGGATTCTAAAATATTGTTTATATGCAACACTAACTCAAAATTAGGATATTTATTCAATCCACTGGTAGGTCTTGTTTTTTAATTCATTAATTAAAGAGAACACCTGTTACCATACCACAATGAAAAAATATTTTGATCATGTATTCCAATATAATCCCTTTATAATCCTGTATGTTTTGTTTCACGCATTTGGGGACATTATTTGGAGGGGGGCTCATAGGTATCTCCTGGCCTGTGACCATCACAGGGATTCCTGGCACAAAAGAAGGCCCAAAGCTCCTTCTAGTCTAGTGTTCCGAGCCCTTAGGTATTGTGGACCGTTGAGGTTCTGGAGGCCTCCATTCATAGTCAGGTAATTGTGGTGCATGTGCATGCGTGTGTGTGGAGGGGATTTTGCTGCCTTCAGCCGAGACTTTGCTGGTCTTGGAGCCTCTGAGCTCCCAGGAGATGCCTTGAGCCATCCCATCAAGCCCAGCCTGGCTCTTGAGAACCCCCCACTTTGCTTGGGGAGAGGGCGCTGCGGTAAAAGTTTTTAAAAACTGAAAAAGAAACATTGACAGAAGCATGAGGCAGTACGTGATTGGTCATCAAAAGAGAAGTATACACTTGAACCATGACACCAAGCTCCCCATTTGATGCCAGAGGACAAAGATGGGGGACAGCCCAGGAGCAGTGTGAGGTCATGTGACCTCCCGGGTGCCAAGGCTCAGTCTGAAGAGCCAGAGTCAGATCCAGGTTCCTGGTCCCAATCTCATGCTTCACCTTTAGGGCTCAACTTCCCCACCTGTAAAATGGGAGCTTGGGTACCTACCTTCCTACAACCCAGAGCTGTGGGAGGATCAAACGAGACCACAGACTGGATTCCATTCATAGGATAGTGCTTGGGAGCACCTGCAAAGCCCCTGCGAGGAAGGTGGGAGATCATTACCTGGCAGCCCCACCTCCTTAATGGCCAGAGGCTAATGAACTCCCAGGACCAGCTGCCTGGGTGAGCCTCAGCTGACCCAGATAATTGCTATAGCAACTCCACACTTTTAATGAACTCTCAGCTATTTCTGGCATGGGCCACTAATGGAATAACTCTTTAGATCTGACTTTGTTAAGGGGCCTAATTGAGCGAACAAGGCTGCCGATCTTGCGTTCCTCACTCTCCTGGGCTGGAGGGTCATTTGCAGCCTCAGAAGGTGGCAGCTCTTAGCTGCACTGGACTGGATCTGGGACTCGGCCGAGATGTAATCTGTCCTTGAGACAAGCTGTGCAGACAAGGACTTTGCCAGGGGTCCGTTCTAGCCTTGCTCTGCTGGCCGTCTTGCTGTATGACCTTGGGGCTGGTCTTAACCTCTGGAGCTCCTTCAGGAGGAAAGGCCCCGCTTTCAGGTTTGACCCTGTCTGCCATCCCCACCTGAGACTTTCTGACCTGTCCCTCTTTGGTCTCCAGCCTGATCCTCCTCCTGTCTTATCTGAGAGGAACCTGCAGGTCCAGCCACTGTTGAGGGGTCTCGAGATCCCACATACCCTAGCCAGTTGCACAGGTTGCACACAATGTGGTTTGTAGTCCTGATAGTCCTGGTTTGCCAGGATCCTGAGAGCAGCAGATCCTCTTTGGCTGCTTCCTCAGGCCTGCTGCCCGAGTCCTGGCTGTGTGCCTGCCTCCCTTCCACCCCTAGCCCCAGTCTCTCCCCGCCCACATGGAGGCTTCTACCTCCCGGGCCCCCGATGTCCTCCCAGGCCCGTCTGCAAATAGCACCTGCTGACTTCCCTGGTAGATGCCAACACAGTGGTGTGCAGGATGAACAAGCATGCCCCCCACCCGCTTTGGGGCCCCTTGTTCTCTCAGGCTGTCATATAGCCCCTGCACTTGGCTACCCTTCACCTTATTCTCAGGCTTAGACAGCTTCTCTAGGCCTCACTGCATGCTGGCAGGGCCTCGGTCCCTCCAGGCATTCACCCTGCTTTCCACGGCAGGCTAGACCAGGCCACGCCACGCCACGCCAACATCAAGGCCACCAAGAAGCTTGCCCAGGACTTGCTCTGGCTGGTAGAGGGTCCATTGTCCCTTCAGACCCCTGGCATGATGGGGAGACAGGACTCACGGAGCCATGCATGCTCACAGGGAGTAGGTTGAAGTGATAGGATTAAGCCCTAGTTGTTGGGATGTGTGTGGGGGCTCAGGGTGGGGGGTGAGTGTAGAGCAGAAGGGGATCTTAGTTAGGCAAGGGCCCTGAAAGGGCCTCCCCACTCCCTCCCTCCTGGCCAGACTGGGAACTCAGGTTCAGGGAAGGAGGAGGCTCCCAGGGTCTGTTGCTTCTTCCCTCTGCCCTGCCCAGTGAGTTCTGCCCTGCTCCAACCTGCAGTCTGGGAGATAGGAGGACACCTCCCTTCACTGGGCCCCACACGCTGCCCAAGAGAGAGACCTGAGACTCTGGGCACAGGACACCTCGTTCCCGCACCTCACTCCACTGCCTTTACCCCGTCTCTGGCCTTGGACCAGACCCCAGTTCAGCCCCTCCCCACTGGGATGTCTGTGACAGACTGCAGGCCTCCCCTGGGTCTGCAGGGGCCCCACCGCTCTCCATGTTTTCCCCAGCAGGCCTTCGTTCCCCCTCATTCCCCACATTGTCTCTCTGGGACGACCCAAGGCAGGGCGGCGAGCCATCCCCATTTTATAGAAGAATAAACATTTTCAGACTGAAAGTTATCCTGCGTTGGCTACAGCCCGGGCCTCAAAGGCCTGGCCCAGGCTACTTCCAGCCCACGTGGATAACCCCTCACCCACGTAGCTGAGAAACTGAGGGATGTGGTCCAGAGGCGCCCCACCAGGGGCACCCCACCTCCAGGCTGCCCCTGGTTTTTCAGCCGGGGTTGTATGTATGTGCATGCACACACGTGTGCTGAGTACTGAGAAGCCCTGAGGGCGCTCACTGAGCCCTTCTGTCCCTCATGGTGGTTTCAGAGCCTTGCTGTGCCCTGGTCCAGAGCAGCAATCATGTGGGAAATCTTTGTTTCTATTTATACATGGATGTTAGGAAAGACGGTGAGCCCAGGAGCATGTGTGCTGGCATCGGAATCGATTGGGGACTGGTAATTAATTTGTTTAGACCTTAATTAATTCTCCAGTTCTTATTTGTGGATGGTCACGCTTAATTGTGTTCAGGAGCTTGAGCTCAGAGCAGGCCCTCCATTAATTGATGGTTGCTGTGAGGTGGGAGTTAATGGTTTGGGGAGCTGGGCAAACAGTGTAATGAAAGGTCAGTCGAGGAGGCATTGGAAAAACATCCCCCCCCCTCCCCAGGTCCAACTGCCAGTCTCCACGAGCAAGAGTCCATTCCAGGAGAGACAGGCCCCGCAAACAGCCTTCTCGTGAGGCCTTGGGCTGGGAGCTGGCAGGAGTGACCAGCGGGAGGGATGCGAGGTCGCAGGTGCCATGAAGGGGCACTGGTGAGAGGGAGAGGCATGCATGGGGCAGGGCCTTTAGCCAGAGGCCCAGAGGTGGGGATCCCCAGGTGTCCCCAGGCCAGCACATCTCTGAACCAGGCTCTGCATATGTGCATGCAGGGGTGAGGGAAGGAAGGAAGCCCTGAAGGTCACCCCAACCCCCCGCTGCCTGGCGCATCCATACCAAGCAGGGGACAGGCTGTATCGGGTGCTAAGAAAGACCCCCATGTGGGCTTTGAGCTCCCTCAGGGGAGGCCTGAGCCTCAGCCCCAGCCAGCTGGCTCCCTGCGCAGGGACTAACCTTCCTGAATGGGCCAAAATGCCAGCCTCATCTTCCCTTTGCCGGGAAATGACTTCTTCCTGCGCTGTCCGCAGCAGGCCCTTACATTAAATGTCACCGCTTATTTCATCACCAGGAAAAAATCTCTGCATTCACCAGGGGGTCCGCTCCTCAGGATGTCTGGGCAGTCTTTGGGAGAAGGTCTTCTGTCCATACATCTGACCCGCCGCATCTGCTTGCTCCCTTCACCCCCAGGCTGCAGGGGTCGCCATTGATTTCCCCTTCCCGGCTCCTCGCTTGGTGTTCAAGCCGCCGCCTGGCTTGCCTTGTCTGGGAGGTAGCCACGGCTGTGTGTCCAAGCCCCAAGGGTTAGTCCTAACCCCCTCCATCCCTCATCCCCTGTGGTTAGAGGACAGCAGTGTGCACCTGTATCGGCTGGGCCTCATGACATGCGTTCCTTCCATCAGTGATAATGTGGCGTCCACAGCCCTGAGGCTCCTTGGTCCCTTCCTTGACCTTTGCACACGTGCCCTGTTTGTCTGGAATCCTTGCTCTTCCCATTACCTCAGCCCCATCTTCTGCCTTCTCTTGACTGCCAGGCCTTTGTTTCTCAGCTCAGACACCACCTCCTCCAAGAAGCCCTCCCTGGTAGCCCCAGTTAGGGTTAGACCACAGCACCCTGTGTGTGCCTGTGTGTAACCCAGAACTGCCCATTTTGTTCCTGAGTTTGCCTCCTTCATCAGACTGTGAGCTCCCCAAGACAGGGACTGGCTCTCATTCATCCCCAACCCCCAGGCTCACCCTGTGCTTGAAACACAGTGTTCAGTGTGGGTTTGTTCAGT